GGTTCTTCACCAGACTGAGCATACAGCAACTGTTGCCCAGGTTCTTCCCCAGACTGAGCATACAGCAACTGTTGCCCAGGTTCTGAGAGGCTGAGCATACAGCAACTGTTGCCCAGGTTCTTCACCAGACTGAACTTTATGCGATATAAGGCACAGTTGAAGAAAACTTGTGTAAATCCCAACTAGTCTAAATCTGGACAAACTTCATATTAAGATTTCTTCAACAGTCACTTTCTCTTCACCAGTTTAAGTCCCACAAAAGAGCGATAAAGAACCTGGGCAACAGTTCCTGTATGCTCAGTCTCTCCCGTCTCACTTGCTGAAGCTTGGAACTCCTTCAGAGAGCTCTGGTGATTTCTCACTATTCTCCTACTTGCACAGCTTTTTAGTTTGTGAGGACGACCTGCTCTTAGTAGATCTACACACGTTCCATATTCCTTCCATTTGTTGACGGTCAATTTAACAGAACTCCTGGAAACATTTAGGGCCCTGAAAATTGTTTTGTATCCATCCCGACTCTTTTCAATTATTTTTTTTTAGTTGATTTAGGACAGTCACTTTAAAGAGAGTGAACATGTACGCAATCACATTTTTAACATCTTTTTATTTAACTGACAATCTGTAAAACGTGAACATTCAACACAACCTGCTGCCTTTCTTAGACAGACAACTTTTACTAATTGTCTTTTATGTCTGTGAATGTTTCTGCTCTGTGCCGAGATGACTTCGGTTGTGACTTGGTGCTATTTAAATAAAAATTGAATGAAAACTTTTTTCACTTGACATTGATTTTATTTTTCTTTTGTAAAGGTCAATTTATATAGACACTTTATGACAGGAATGAAAGCAAAGCAACCTATGCTGACGACACAGTAGTTTAATGTCAAGCTAGAACAGTTGCTAAGGTTTTCCAGCTTTTACAGTCTGCAGTCAGCATCATCTAGTCAGATTTGTTCCGTCTCAAACTTGTGATAAATGCTGCCGTGGATTTGCATTAACCTTTTAAGCTCCATGTGGAAAACTTAGAAAAGAAATTCACAGTTAAACTGGGTTTGTTTTTCAGAAACAGATCCTGTCTAACCCTGAATGTTAGAAAACACCTTGTTTCTGTGACTTTCCTTCCCTCCACTGACATTATTTACATGAACGCTCCTACAAGAACCCTGCAGATGTTGGATGCTGCAGATGTTGGATGCTACAGATGTTGGATGCTGTCTATCATGGTGCACTAAGATTCATAACTGGCTGTAACTACCGTACCCAACACTGCACCCAGTATTCACTGGTTAACTGGTCACCATTAACTTCACACAGACTCTCACTGGTACATTTTCATCTTTAAATCACTTCCTGGTCTGCTGCCTTCATACATCTCCTCCTACATGTCTCTGCGTGAGTGCAGCTACAGCGTGCGCTCTCAGGACATCATTACCTGCAGTGTTCCCTCAGTGAGGACTGAACTAGACAAAAGGGCCTTCTCCTACTCCGCTCCTGTTTCCTGGAATATCTTGTAAAAAGATCTGAAGCTCTCAACCTTTGACCTCTCTGAGTGGCTTCAAACATCTGATAAGCTGGTGAAAACCAATGCGGACATGTTCCTGTTTTTAGCATTTTACAAGGCTTTATAATGTAGCTGTTTTTGTTTTGTTCTTTTTTACATCATGTCTTCCATTTATTTTAATTTGAGATGCTTTTACGATTGTCCACTGTTGTCGTCCGTGTTCTTTGTTAAAACCAGGTCTCTGTTGTAAACGAGTCCTCGAGGCTCAATGAGACTAACCTGTAGAAATAAAGACCGAATTGAATAAAACGTTCAAATGGTTGAATACTTTATATAGGCACTGCAAATGAGTTCTCTCAGGTAAGTGCACACTCTTGTTCATTTAAAGTGCAAGTGATTAACGAGAACATTTCAAAGAAAATGTTTAAGTGGCCAAAGATTCTAACATAACTTAGTAAAATTAAGACGAATGTCCACAACTGAACTGTATGAGATGTAAGAGAGACAAAGAAACATAAAAGCTGTTACAAGTGGCTCATTATGATCTAGGGTAACCAAACACCTGAGCCCGTCACGTGCTGACTGCCAACAGAGGAAACAGTCACTGTGTGAAAACCAAGTCAAACCTTAAAACCCCTTGAATTGTGAGCAGCACACAATGATGTTGACACGTGAATGTTTCTGTGTCCACAGCGTTTTATGTAAGAGATATGGAGCCTTCACTTCCTGCTTCTACAAGAACATCGTGAGCTCAAGTATAACTGAGGCCTGGTTGTGTGCTCGCTGCGTTCAGGGAGAGAACGACAGGTCCTTCAGCAGTGAGACGCACCTGGTGGAAGAAGGCGATCTTGTCTACATTCTGATGTAGGATTTGCTCCATAAAGAGGTGCGGGAGGAAGAGGAGGCAGCTAAGAGGTTAGTGACATCATCGACTGTCAGTTGAACATTTTGTAGAAACATCATCAAAAGTGTGATTGTGTAAAAACTGTATTGTCAGAGCACCAGCTGAGTCACGTAAAGTCCAACTTTCTGTGTTTGGACTCTATAAACGATGTTCCTCCTGTAGAGCTCCAAGCAGATGACTTCTCTCATGTTTCACCAAGAAGTTACTGATCTTTTTTATTTTATTTAATCCACATTAAGCAGTATCCTGCTATTAAACTATTCCACATGGAGATGCATGTTTTGAGGCGTAATTTGCACATTTTATTTCAAAGCTGTGATACAGGACAACCATTTTGAAGGGTGTTTCAATGCTTACTCCGTTAGTGCAAACATGAGCTCACTTATAAATGTTCGGAGCCTAAAACTGTAGAATTTGATGTCAAAGCTCCTGGAGACGTTCCAGCTCACTCTAGAGCTCACATCATTCATGTCCACCTCCACGGGGAATCCCAAGTGTTCCTGGTGGTTTTCACCAGTAAACCTGCTCCTGCTTCACAGCCAACATGTTTAAAGTATGAACTAAAGTGAAAACCTAGAGTGGTGACAGGAACAGCACCAGGTCAAACCAAAGATGTAAAGCTGAACTTTAAATAACAAATGAGATCAGACTGAAAGGAGCTGGCCATGTGTGTCCTTGTTCAGGGCTTCTTCTCCTCTTCAGCTGCTTCTGTTTCGATGCTCTCCAGCAGACTGTGCGTCTCTTCCTCCAGCATCAGCGTGACAGGGTTCAGGTGAAAAAGGTGCCTAGAAAAAAGACCGCCACAGAGCAGAGAGAGGTGTTAGACAGGTGCACCTGCCTGATATCCTGTTCTACCTCTTGTTAGGAACGCTCACTTGTGTTCACAGGTTGGGAAGAACAAGTCTAGGATCTTCACGATGAGTGCTGATCCAACAATGCCAATCACGACCACCCACATAACCAGGAAGAAGAGGGGCAGGGACTCGGAGCAGAAGCGCCGCAGACGCTCCCTGGCCTGCTCCACCCACTGACACATGGCCTACAGGACAAACAGAGAAGCCTGGTCTGGAAATGTCTTCAGACAGGATACACAACGTTTCTGTCTGTTGTTAAGGATTTAAATAAAAATATATTGTGTGAACAACAAATTCCATGCTCAATAATCCAGTTTTTTTTTCATTGACCCTTTATTTATCCAGGTAGTCTCATTGAGCCACGAGAACTAATTTTCAAGAGAGACCTGTTTAGGAGCAGATGGGGGTTAAGGGCCTTGCTCATGGGGCCCAGAGTGGGGCGAATGAGGGTGAGGGCAAGTGTGGGTGCTTCACCTACCCCACTGACATTTTTGATGTTGTCGGTACCGGGGCGTGAACCGGCGATCTTCCGATTACAGGCCCACCTCTCTAACCTCTGCACCACCACTCCCCAGGTATAGAATCCAACATTTTTCAGTCAGGTCATCTGGACAGTTTCTTTTTTTGTGCTGAAACATTTCACCTTCGATCCAGAAGGCTTCATCAGTCAAGGAAACACACAACAAAACTGATTCTTCCCCCAACAGCTTACTCCAAAGTGGAACAAACCAGTTATATTGGTGCTAAGATGGTCTCTTTGGTACCCCCCCTCCTCCACTGACGGCTCTCTTCCTTATTGACAGTCTTGTCAAACTGGTTGAAAACAACAAAGGTCCAGATGACCTGACTGAAAATATAAATAAAAAAAAAAAAAATATATATATATATATA